GCAAGAAGCTTTCCGCTGGTAGACGCCTTTTTCTTCGTGGACGCACCGCGGAGACGGCGGTTGGACTGCAGACGACAGTGAGGGGCGGGCGCCACACCCAACCCGGCACTGTGAGGCGGCTCGGTGAATGCATGGCGCAGTATTTTAACGGCTGGGAAGCGTTTGCCGCAGACTTGTCGTGGGAGATTATTTACGTGCGGCATGGCGGGAGTGCGCCGATAAACACGTGGCAGGAATGCAATGCCGTCGCGGGAGAAAACGAAGACCGGGGAGAAGCGAAGCGGAAGCGGGAAGGAGATGAGGAAGAGAAAACTGCGAGCTCCCGGGACGAAGAGGCACACCAGTACCAGGTGAGGGTGTCCGAGGAGGATTTCGTGCCTTGAAAAAGACGACCAAAGCGAGCAGCAGCCAGAGGGGCAACTAACTAAATAACAATAATAATAATTATTATGTGCGGTCTTCCCTTCAGGAGAAACGCCTTTTGGGGAATATTTTTTCTTGCATCGTTGCTTGTTTGCGTGCGAATAGTGCGGGCGATAATTAGGGAATTACTCTGCCGTGCGCTGAAGGCGCATTATGGCCAGTGAGAACACAGTAGCAACTTCTTTTCGTTTGTGTGTGTGTAGGAGATTGCAACAGGAATAGTTGCAGCTTGTGGATTGGATGTGTGCCAACAATAGCCACAACTGAAAATGTCTTTTGGTCTAGTTTATCGCTGTGTGTATGGAGGGAGAGTTTGGGCAAAGCAGGGCGTGCTTTTGCGGGCTGAGTGAGTTGACCAGCAATGACAGCAATGGGTTGGTGCCCAGCACCGCCAAGAAATCGTGAGGCAAACCGAATTTATGCCGTTCTCTTTTTTTTTTTTTTGCGTTGGTGTAATGTTTCCCTTTTCTTTTTTTGTGCATGGCGTCGTTCTGGCTGGTGTGCCGCCGCAGTGGGTGCAGCCGAATTCGTCTCTGAGGGCCTCGGGCAAACGATGTTTGACGCTTCTGTCTCTTGCTGGGTTGCCATCCTGGGCGTGTGCGCGCCTGCTCCGTGCGTTTGTTTGGGCTGCGCGCGCTGGGCGAGCAGCCTGGAGCTGTGGGCACGTTGACGCCGCCCCCCTCCGCCTCCTCCTCCTCCTCCTCGTCTCTTGCCGACTGAAGGAGTGAGTGCGGGAGGGGGCCGCCCCGCTTTATTCGGCGGGTTTTTGTTTTTGTGTGTTTTTGCATGGGCGGCGGGGCAGTTGGGGGTAAACTCCCCATTGCGGGGGTGAGGGCTTCGGAGTTGTTTGCGGTGAAGGTAAAATGTGTGTGTGTGTGTGTGTGTTTCGGCGAGGGAGCGGCAGCAGGGCGGTGACGGTTCCAATGAAATGTAAACGACGTTTGTGCCTGCGGACGTCCAGTGGGAGATGAGGCAGATGCATCCGCCCCTGCGGGTAATGTGCGCCGTTTTGTGAGACCACCCGCCCTATACGCCTTTTGCTTTTGTTTTGCGTCGGGGGCCCATCACGACGGATGCGGCGGCAGCAGGGCCGGCTGACGTCAAACGCTCTGTGGGCTTGGGCCCCTCCTCTTCGCGAGCCCCCGGCTGTTTGGCCACGCACAGCTGCCGCCCATGCACCTCGCAGCTGCCAAGGCTGTAGGAGACACGTGCCACGGCACCGGCGCCGTCTTGGGTGAGTGTCTTTTGGGCGCCGCAGTGCAGGGCCTGGCACCACAGCCGCCGGACGCAGTTGTGCAAACGCGCTTGGACGGCCTCAGAGGTGCGATTGGGGATCGGGTGCCACAAGGCGCCTGCGTCAC